GTTGCATGTGTTCACAATGAACATATGAGGTGTTTATTAAAAAGGTTTTTAAAAATATTGAATGAATTGAGAATTGAGTTTTCTCATAAGGCTTGACAAAGGCTTGTTGAGACTGAACCTTTGTTGTATTTAAAGTATCCTACAGGAAGCCATCAGTAGTGTGTTTGGATCTATTATCTGATTTCTAATGTTTGACAGATAAAAGTCAAGTTTGATTGTTGAAGATTAAAAAGCTTTTCATTTACATGTCTTATACTGTGGTTATACTAATGTCTTCTTATCACTAAAGCAAGCCTGTATTTTGTGTTAAGATTGGTCACTTTCAAGTAAGCTTGTCAGAAACATAAATGGTCAAAAATCAGAGGGTGAGAACAAATTAATCGATTTCTCAAATTATTTGTATACTTACCATATGCGGGTACACTGTAATATTTCGATTACATCCGCCAGATCTGCATTGCAAAGTATTGTGTAAGGCNAGGAAAAGAGAAAGATGGGTCTGCGGCAATGATATCTTTAGCACTCAGGTTACTGCAGTTGCAAACCTGATTACAAAACAACTGTTGTTCTGCATTTTCACAATGATTCTGGCTTTTTGAAGCATAGATAAAATCACTGAAACCAGGTATTCGCCTTATCGGCTCTGCAACCCCAAGTACAGTTCCGATATTTTTGATTGCTTTCTCCTTGGGGAGCTTCTTGTTTAAGGACCATGCATCTACTGCTATCCACACCTTGTCTTTGATTTCCAGTTGTATTGCTGCCTTAATGAGAGCTTCAGCAGTCAATTCAGGAGCAACAACAATAATGATACGTATCCTCTGTGCCTCTATCTGTTTGAATATGGGGTGTTAATCTGTATTAAGAATCCGGGGGCTTTGGTGTCAGGCAGGAAGATTCAGTGTCCCTTAATCATATTTATCGAACAATGTCCGTCCATCATTGCCATAGTCATCATCAACATTAAGGACAGCAACCCAGCGCCAGTTGAAGTGCTGCAAAATCTTTACAATCACTTCTATGACGTCTTTGTTGGGATGCACTGTTCGTAAGAAAGAGGGGAAATTCTTTTTTCTCGAAAAGACAGAACTGGAAGCTGCATAACTGATCTGTGAAAAGAGTAATGGAGAACTTGTATTATAATATATCATTTGATAAAAATATTTTAAAAACAATAGTTGGCAAACTTACCATGGGAATGAGATTCATCATGAAGAGTGGGGCTACAGTCCGTGTCTCAGTGCTTGTGGAAGCGCCAACCACTGCTATCACTTTGGACAGATTCTTGTGTGGTTCATGCCAAGGTTGGATCAAGCCATTGTTTGAGATGAGGTTGAACATTTCTGGGAAATTCTGTGTATCTGAGCAGTGGTCAAATATTTCATAGCCGAGAGACACATTTGGCAGAATATTGGTAGAGTTATTGATTTCCTCTACAGCGAATCTCATCATCTGAAACCTCCGATAGCTTGACAGAATGAAGGGCTGACTGAGGACAGACGAAGGACAGTGATAGAGTTTAAGAATGAGTTACATTGTTAAAGTATTACTCTTCAAGTATTTGTGAAGTCTGTGCAGACACGGCTATCTAAAAGAGGAAGGGAAGAAGCACTAAGGTTGATAATGCAGACTTGATGTTCCTTGACTTTGATAATAGAGGAATTCATTAAATTGGTTTTGATGGAAATATGCTATTAGCTATATACATTGACTTGAGATTTGAGTCAAAACTATAATTGGCTATACTAGGTGCTATTAATTTAGTTGTAGATTGTATTTACTCAGATTTTTTAGAAAACTCACCTGGAGCAGTCAGTAAATTCTGGTCTCTCAGGATAAACAGAGACATTGGAATGATGAATATCAAAAAGTCCACCTATCAAATAATGTCCTTTTAGTTGAAACTCTGAGGTTTGGGCAGTGCATTGAGCCAAGGCTTGTAGAAAAGTCCCAAAGAGAAACAGACCAGCAAGACAGTGTTTCATTGTTGTAGTTACCAATCTGTTGTGAACTCTCATTGGATTACCTTTTCCTTTAAAAAGTTATGAGACAGTGGTGATGACATCCTCATTTCCATGAATGAAAGTCATTATGATTCACTGGAAGACAATACACAAATCAGTATGCAAAAATCATCTAAACTGCTACTGCTATAGCGTGCCTGTGATGTATTCACACAGTGTTTAAAAATAATCATGAGTAAGTAAGTTTAATGCTTCTATCATGAATAAATCTGGTAATGCTAGAAATGTTACTTCCTTATTTTAGTCAAATAACCAACTAAAAGTTCAAACTTATAATGTGTGAACATAAAAGTTTAAAATATATTTATATATTTGTTTCCTTTTTGCCTTTATTACTGAAGCACAAATTATTGCTCACAGCGACAACCAGACCACCTGGACCAAACATCACCAGAAACAGTGTGATAAAACCAGAAAGAGACCCGGGATGAGAACTAAACTAACCCAGCTCAGACCCAAGGTTATTCCGCTACCCAGCCTAGTCCTGCCTAATGTCAGAATGCAGGAAGATAAAATGGATGAAATAAGAGTCAGAAAATCAGCTGTGCTCTTATCTTTACTGAGACCTGGCTCTAACAAAACATCCCACATCAAGCTATTGCACTTGACCGGCAGAGCGTGTTCCACTCTGACAGAACACACGACTCTGGTAAAGAGAGAGGAGGCAGACTCCTTCAACTGTTTACATCCAGTTGAAGTCCACGCAGTTAAAGTGGAATGTGTGGCATTTTTATTGTTAAGATGTCAACCATATTATCTGGCCAGAGAACTCACCAGAGTGTTGGTTACATTCCCCCAGACTCAGGTCATCAGCCGCCACATGACAGGACGGCTTAATGAAACAGACCTCAGAACTGTTTTACCTAAATTCCACCAGCATGTCCACATCCCCTTCAGGGGAAGAAATACACCGGGGCCATATTTGCATTAATATTCCTGGCAGCTACCAAGACCTTCCCTGTGCCCAGTTTGGTCTATCAGACCACATTTCCCTGCTTCTCCTGCCTACTTGCACCCAACTGATTACTATGACTGACCATCAGTGAAAACTTTTAAAGTGTTAGGTTAGGTAAGGTTAGGTTATTATATTTGTATCTGTACAAAAGTGTGGACAGATGAAGCCACAGCAGCACTACTACACCACAGACTGGCACATGTTTAAAGAGGGGACATCACCCTGGAGAACCAAATAATCTTGAGGAATATATCATCAGTTACATGATACGTCAGCAAATGTGTTGATCACAAAGACAGTAATGTGTGTGTGTTTGAACTTCTGGGTGAAGGAGAGGATTCCAGGTACAGAGGAACAAATCCACCTTTAGACCAGATTTTTACAATCAGTGGTTTTTAACTATATTTCAGTTAGACAAGTCACGTTTGAAATGTTTATTACAGCAGTACAACATAGTCAGAATTTGGTGTCTAGCTCGAAGGCGTCGCTCCATTAGTGGTAGCTGACTTTTAGCTTGGCCTGCGTTAAACTTTGCACTTTTCACTGTCGTTGCATGCCCTGTTGGGCTGCAAGGACCATTTGTGAAGAGGCAGTTGGTGTTTGGCAATAGATATACGGGCCTGGGAGAGATGAGTGGTGAGGCTCAGAACTACCTCCACGCCAAATTGCTCAGAGCCATGGCAGAAAATCAAGAGAGGCAGACGTCACAATGGTTGCTCCCTAAAATGAATGCTAAATGCCACCTAATGATTCAGAAATTTGGTTTAGGGGTGGTCGACGACAAGGTATCCTATCTGTTAAACTTTTCAAAGGTGCAAAAGTAGAAAGAACTGATTTAAAGTTAGGCTACCAGCTACGGGAGGCTAAATGGGCTTCGACGTTTAGGTGGTGGGTGGCTAAAGACTCAAATGATATCCATATTGAGCCTTTTTGGCTAGATCACAAAAGGATCACATAAAAAAGATAAAATGATTCCAACCTTAAGACTGCTGCATTTCCTACATCTTGAACATCTTAACTTGTAATTTTGCTACTAACACCACTGACTTTAAATGTATAACTTTTTACAAATGAATTAATGAACGTATTCAGGCATTCAAAATGAAACAAATGTACTGCACATGAAGGCTTGACTTAACAGAAAGACCGGTACAATATGATGCAGCCCTTCAAAGCATATTTGTGAAGGTTGTTGATATAGTCTGATGTTCCTGACATTTCATACAGCTCATGTCCTGGCACATTGAAGGCATCATGTGCCGGTCATGGTGATTACGATGCCTTTTGTCGTTGAATTCCTGTCAAGAAAGGTAATATAACCTCAGTAAGAACTGTGTAACCACATTTGTGACGTTGAGGATGTATTTATTAACAACATCTTCATCTTTGACATTTAATGTATGTCTAAACATTAAAGGATATTTATGATATTATTTATAAATCCATAGTGGAAAATACGTAAAGCATATGTGGAAAATAAATTTGATTAACAACTCTTGTCAGTATAAACAAAATGTTGTTGGCTTAACTTAATATCTTCATTTTATTTTTTCTCAAGTTGAGTTATTGCAGTCTTAAAAATACTGATAAATGAAGTATTCATTACTATTACAGTTATCTCTTAAAAAACAACCCAGTGATTTATGTTTTCAAGCTGAAAAAATACAAATGTTTTTCATATTGCAGAGATGAACCACATGGAAAGGGGAACAAAGATTATCTTTTCATACATTAGGCAAATGCAAAACTACCTTTCTCTCTTCCTGATTTAGTACACAAGAGGACACATAGTTTGCATAGACACCTGATAGTCAGGCAAGTTTTTTTTTTGTCATATTGTTTTCAGGCTTTTTTGCCTTTATTCCATAGGATAGTTCAAAATAGACAGGAAAGGGGGATGCACAGCAAAGGGCCACAGGTTGGAGTCGAACCCATGGCCACTACAGCAAGAACTTAGCCTTAGTACAAAGCTCTACCCAGAGCCATTAATATATGAGAGTCATGTCATCTTGGTTTGCTCCATGGACCACGTTTTTATAGCCCTGGCAGAACTTGGAGCCTCTCAACAGTTCCCGGAAGTTTGCCAACTCTACCACCAGTTCAGTAGAGTTACAGCCAGAAAGTGCCATTTGTGGTGCACTTTTAAAGGGTAAAATATTTAAAGAATCAGATTGTATATTATTAGCACACATGAAATGATTAATAACATGTGTATTAAAAGCATGTCAATGAATTATTCCCTACTAATTTGGTACATTTTGAACGTTTACAGATAATAGATTAGGCTAGGATACTGGATAAAGGTAGCAACAGTTTACTAATTGTGAATTCTGATCTGATAATGCTACCACTATATCATCCTTCTTAGCTCGATTTTTCGTGTGGTCTGGAGTAAATTATTAATTAAACATAATTTTGGGCTATGTGATTGTAGTCGGTGCAGGTGGTGATACTTTGGAGTATGAGCTATGAATATGTTTTGTAATATATATTCTTTGAGACGTAACTTAAGGGTTGAGTGTTTTTAGGTGTTGGGATTCTGTTTCCTGTGTATATTATGTTGCAGCTCAGCTGATTTTTGGATTGATGGGAAAGACCTAAGTGATGTTGAAAACACAAGGTAAGTTCATAATGGCCAACAATTTCAAGTTTTTTGCTACTTATAATTATAATACTTATAATATAAGTATTCATACTAAACATGTATTCTATTCCTGTATTATGTTAGTAATTTTGTTAGTAATAATATTCCCACTCATTGCATGCTGCAGGCCAGGAGTGTTGCAGGGTGAGAACAAATGATGATACAGATCACTGCAGAGTGACTTGAACACCCATTACATGTCTAATAGACAACCCAGAAAATGAGACAACTTTTTACGACTTCAGACTTTTAAACATCAGCAGCAAGCACTGTTGATGATCAACAACAACAAAGACCATGCATCATCTCCAAGGCAATTTCCTGTCTAAGTCTGTATAGGTGTGTCTAACCTTTTCTCTGTCTCTTTCTCTCTGTGTTCTGCAGTCCTTCATGTTTCGGAGTTTATTATTGATTGATATGTATATATACCTATATATATATATCTATATACCTATATAGATAGATATATATATCTATATAGATATATATGGAATTCTTAATGAGGTAAATGTAGTTAAAGCTCCACTGTTTCGGATTTAGTTTCATCTTGCAGTGTAGTTCACCCACCTCTTCTATGCCCAAAAGAAAAAAACGCAAACACCCCTATCTCCCTATCTAGAGCCAATGTTTGGTTTGTCCTTTCTGGGCTACTATAGAAACATGGCAGTTCTACATGGCAAACTCAAGGGAAGGCAGCCCCTGGCATCTGTGGATATAAAAAGCTCATTCCTATGTTCAGGTGGTTATAAACAAATGAAAACATAGTTATGAATATTGTATTCCATTCCTGCCAATAGATCATCCTAAATGTTACACACAGGACCTTTAATGTCAAAGATTTTGAGATACAATTCTGAAATTGACTGACCAATACAATAGTACTGTAGTGGCCATCACATCTTTCCACCTACAGTTAGGATGCAGTGATGACACGTTTTTAGTGCTGATAAAACTGCAGAGTACAAAAATAAGTAATTGTTTTAAACTAAATGAATAGAAGAATGACTACACTGGTATGCTGTCCAGAGCCAGGTGTGTCAACAGTCACTTGACATCTGTTGTGTGTTAAGTACTATGTAGTATACATAAGTCACCAAATTTAGTTTGATGTTAGGATACAGCTTGAGCAAGACTCAGCTAAAAAGGAAACATAAACCAGATAACTAGGTCTACAGACTGTAATACTGGAATAAGAACTAATTTATGTTAAATGAAAAAATTATTTCCTCTTTTTTCGAGTGCTAATAATCTGCATCTTGTGTGCTGAAAGTGGTCCCAAGTAGAGATGACACAGTAGAGAGGACATGGACATTAAATGTCTTCCTGATTTAAAATCAAGGTACCAAGACCATCAGGTTGAATTCATATGGGGAGCTTCAATACCTGTTTCTGTCAGGTACACAAACATGTAACACAGAGAGACCAGATTGATACCGACGCAGACTGCAGACATAGTTTAGCTCTGTCAGACACACTACATACTGATATTCTAATTTATACTGGATCAATAGTGATAGTGTTATGCTTATCTTATTAAGTGCTTACAGTCCATGGTTCAGAGCATAGAATGTGTAATTAGTGGATGTGGTGAATAAACTGGCCAACACTGCAACCCCACACAGTGGGCCCATTTCATTATTGAGTGGCAATATTAGCATAACTACAACCAGCTACATTTGGTAAATAGGTGTCACAAAGTCACCAGGAGAGACCTTTTTTGTGCTTTGCATTACCCCTGGTAAAGACTCTTTTAAAAGACTGCCTTTTACCACCCCCATCTTTGTTTTGTTTTTATCAAAAGAAACTGCCTGTGTTAATAAACTACATTATTGAACTTCTGACTCTGCCTACTTGTTTAACCAGAGAGTAAAGAAACCTGTGACATAGGCATGGGTAAATTTTTTTATTTTGCACTCACAAACACCAAAAGATAGAACATGTTGAGTAATATGTTATAGTATGGGTATATAAGTAAAAAGAGAAATTGATAAAATGAGGTGGACCAATAGAGGTCAAGGTTTGATTACTGGTGTAACCTATTTCAACGGTGTACAGCATGCTCTTTTTTGGATAGAGTTCATAAAGATGAAAGACAAATAAGAAAAAAATATTCAACAATAAACTCTTAGAAAGACATTAAATTTATAAATAATCACATTATATTTAAAAAAAATGGAGACTTAATTTTGTCCACAGAAACACAGGGATACCAGCACAGAGAAAAAAGGTAGTGTAGAGTAGGGCTTAGTAGCCTTTATCATTACTCCTCGTTAATGACTTAAATCTAAATCTATATGTGAACAAAGTTGTGCACAAACTCCACAAAATCAGAATCTGTACAACACATTCACAAAAACCCTGAAATCCTGCACCCTAATTTTGACCTAAATACAAAAACTTCAATTAGACAAGTACTGAATGTAATTGTGTAAGTGTGCCTGTAGTGTAGCCAGTAGACAGTTTCACAGTGAGGTGCTGCCTTCATGTGGTGACATTAGTGTAATAGCAACCCCAAAAAACTGTTGAACAGAAAGGACATCACACACATTGCATTTTATGTTGTTATTAAATCACTGTTGTACATGTAAATATGTAAATTAGTGCAGGGCTTACCAGTATGAAATACATGTGGGTTATCACTGAATGAAAACAATGAAAACGATCACAGTTAATATCCACCATCTCTGACGATACCTGTACAAATGAGTAATATCATCAAACAATATTAAGAGTCTTAATGCTCTGTGTGGCTGTACTAAGGTACAGTGCTACTTTGAGGTAAATGCAGCAGGTAAAATGTTTACCATGTTCACCATCTTCATTTTGTAAACAAAGTACAGCTGAGGCTGGTGGGAATGTCATTCATTTTGCATTTAACTAATTCTTGACTAAGTATTTAGTCATGTATTCAAATATTGGACAATTTGAGATGTAGACGAGTTAGTGCCAGCTCTCAGTGTGTAACTTTTTTAGAAAGTAATCAGCACTAATATGTAAAACAATACGTTTCCGTTGTTGCTGTCTGTTCACTGTACGTTTTAATTACTTCAATAAAAAGGATGCATTAATCATATAAGGTTATGCATGTGCACAACAATACCACTAAATACTATTAGAAAAGGAACCAGCTACTTAAATAAACGGACATGACAGATAGTGGTTGCTCACTGTATACACTTGAAAAATGTGTGAACAAGCCCACTGTGTCACAATGACAGGTTAATTTCCATTATACGCTGATACTGTATAGTAAGTGTTGAATAATCAATGAAGGCTGTAAAAAATGTGCCTCAAATTACACACTGTACATTAAAAAACTGGACACTAAAGAAAACTATCTTTAACATGAAACATTAGGTTACAACAACACACAGACAAAGACTGAAACTACTATGTACTTTTTATGGTCATGTACTCTAAAAAGGCCTAAAGCACATCAGTTCTTCTGTATACAGTAACAGATATTCACTGGAGGCTGCTACTGGCTAATTGTTTTGGTATA